CTCCATCTGGCAGTTTGGGGAACCCCAAGCCACTCCACTCTCCACCGGCTCTCCCGCTCTGCTCTCCACCCATCAGCTTGGAGGGAGCCACATCCCCCCAAGCTGCTGTCTCTCCCGCTCTGCTCTCGGCCTGGTGCCTATGTATGCAAATTAACCTGCCACCTTTGTTGGGTTAATTTGCATTCTCACTCCTGATTGGCTAGTGAGTGTAGTGGAGGGATGGTCAATTTACTACTGTGGGCCCCCCGAGCCTTCAGTGGGCACAGGGCCAGCTCTCAGTCTATCCTTCATGCCCCTGCCCAGCCCCTCCCGCTGCAGCCTCCAGTCCCGTATCTGCCGGCAGCCCCCACTCCTGCTGCTGACATTCCCACACGCTGATGGCGCCAGCCCCGCTTGCACCCGCTGACGGCGCAGAGTGATTGGGCTGGCGCCAGCAGCAAGTGCGAGCAGCGTCTGCTGTCCAATCGCCCTTTAGGATCAGGGGGAGGTGAAGAATCCCTCAGGGGAGATCAGGGCCAGCAGCCACCACTCACACCCACTGATGACGCTGAGCAATCGGGACTGGCACCAGGCACCGGCAGCAGGTGCAAGTGACAGCACTGGCTGCAGGTGTGAACAGGGTGGGTGTTAGCAGTGGATGTGAGCAGTGGCTCCGGTGCTGGCAGCGGATTTGAGTGGGGCCAGTGCCAGGTGGGACTGCAGCATGCAGGAGCAAAGACTTTTCAGTAACCACCAGAGGCTCTCCCAGATGACAGTGACCAGTGCCCCTCCTTGGTCTGGCACCCCCACTCACCTGCTCCACCATCCCACCATGACCAACACCCACCATGTTCCGCATGCGCCTCTTGGTGGTCAGCGCACGTCATAGCGACTGGTTGTTTGGTTGTTTGGTTTTCCGCCATTCAGTCTATTTGCATATTAGCCTTTTATCATATAGGATGTTTTGCCTTAACAACTTTGAGATTTTATTTTTATTTTTTAAATATATATATATAGATTTCAGAGAGGAAGGGAGAGGGAAACAGAAACATCAATGATGAGAGAGCATCATTGATCAATTGCCTCCTGCATGCCTTCTACTGGGGATTGAGCCCACAACCAAGGCATGTGTCCTGACCAGGAATGGAACCCGGACCTGACACTCAACCACTGAGCCATGCCAGCCGGGTGCAGTCAATATTTAATGGGAGGGCAGGAGTGCAAACCAGGAAGCCAGGCAGTGGCTCAGCTTGGTGGGCATGCTGGGCTCATGCTGTGTCCAGACATCACCTTCCACTGATAAGAACTGGCCATATTTTTATTGACTTTAGAGAGGAAAGGAGAGGGAGAGAGATAGAAACATCAATGATGAGAGAGAATCATGGATTGGCTGCCTCCTGCACACCCCACACTGGGGATCGAGCCCACAACCTGGGTATGTGTCCTTGACTGGACTCAAACCCAGGACCCTTCAGTCCACAGGCCAATGCTCTATCCACTGAGCCAAACCAGGTAGGATGAGATTAAAGTCAATTATTATTACCCAAGGCATTTTCCTTGGTAAATTCTGTAACAGAGATAACTTACTTTCAGTGGCTTTAATGTTAAAGTATTATTTTATTTTCCTTTATAAAAACAGGGGTGCCCCCAGGACCTGGGAGGTAACCTTGGAATGCAGTCTATTATTATTCAGGAACTACCCATTATTATGGAAACACTAATCTTGTTGCTCAAACATAGCCTGTATATTTTCCTTGTGTCATTTTGGCCATCTTCCAAAGAAATAGAGTCTGGGGTCTATTTTATACCATCCGTGAAGAGATGGGGTTTAGGCCAAGAGGCTGCCCAAAATCAGGTGGGACGCCTTCCCCTTAAGCTAGCCTTTTTCTCTTCAGTGGTCTAGAAGTCCCAGATGGCATCCCTAAATTGTGAGAAATGTCTCATCTATCCAAATTTCAAATGACGGACTGGGAAATAAAAACATGGCGAAAATGAGATTTTTAAGAACGCCCCCAAGAGCGGGCATCCATTTTGCAGATCACCAAGAGACTTAGTAATTAATGGACTGGGGCCTTTTTTATTTACCTCTTTTTGTCTAGGGAATTTTCCTAGGATCTGTGTTATCAGCCACTGTACCACTCATATTCTTTCTTTCCCCACCCCCACATCCTGTTTGCTCTGGGGAAATTTAGTAATGGCCTGGTCACCTACTGTTTTTTTCTATGAAGATAAATTAAAGGCATGCTTAATAGACTAACAATAAACAAATTACAAAATAACAACAGACCCCACAGAAATACAAAGGATTGTTAAAAAATACTATGAACACTATTCAAACAAACTATATAACCTGGAGGAAATGGAAATATTCCGAGAAAAATACAACTTTCCAAAACTCCATCAGGAAGAATCTACAAATCTCAATAGGCCGATAACTATGGAAGAAATTGATGCAGTCATCAAAAATCTTCTAGCAACTAACCGGTTTGGCTCAGTAGATAGAGCGTTGGCCTGCAGACTCAAGGGTCGCAGGTTCGATTCCGGTCAAGGGCATATACCTTGGTTGCGGGCACATACCCAATGGGGAGTGTGCAGGAGGCAGCTGATAGATGTTTCTCTCTCATCGATGTTTCTAACTCTCTATCCCTCTC